TGTCCCAGGTAGACCCGGGTGAGCCTGTCGAGGTAGCTGTTGACTCTCGTCCTGCTCGGGGTGCTGAGCCTGGGGGTGCTGCGTCTGGGGGTGCTGAGCCTGGGGGTGCTGCGTCTGGGGGTGCTGAGCCTGGGAGTGCTGAGTCTGGGGGTGCGGAGCCTGGGGGTGCTGAGCCAGGAGGTGCGGAGCCTGGAGGTGCGGAGCCTGGAGGTGCTGAGCCTGGGGGTGCTGGGTCTGGGAGTCCTGCGTCTGGGGGTGCTGAGCCTGAGCGTGCTACACCTGGAGGAGCCCTCTCCTCCCAGCAGCTGCAGGAGAGGTACCTCGAGTACTGCCGCCTCCGGAGAGGTGCTGCTGGAGCTCGTCCCGGTACTTCCCCTCCTACCCAGGAGCTCCCCCCCATTCAGCAGATCCGCGAGTGGTACACACGGCGCTGCAGTCTTCGGAGTGGTGCTCCTGGTGCTGCGGACCCTGGGGGTGGCGCTGCTGCTGGTGCTGAGGACCCGGACGTTGGAGCTGCTGCTGGTGCTGCGGACCCGCCTGGTGGAGCTGCTGCTGGAGCTGAGGACCCGGGCGGTGGAGCTGCTGCTGGTACTGAGGACTCGGACGGTGGAGCTGCTGCTGGACCTGAGGACCCGAGCGGTGGCGCTGCTGCTGCTGCTGAGGACCCGTGCGTTGGAGCTACTACTGGTGCTGAGGACCCGGCCGGTGGAGCTGCTGCTGGTGCTGTGGACCCGGCCGCTGGAGTCTCCTCTGCTTCTGGAGACGCTGCGCGGCCGCGACCGTACTTCGTACCACTCCTTCAGCAGGTTCTTGGGCAGGCTCCTCCTCCTTGTCCTCCTCCCTCCGTAGAGTGTCCTCTGCCTGTCCAGTCGCAGTCACAGTTACCGCCTACCTCGCCTCTCCCTGCTCCCTCTCCTTACACTGGTCCCACAGGAGGTCTTACAGAGCGTCGTGAGCCTGAGTCTCGTCCTGCGTCGCCTGTTCGTCCTGCTCGCACTGGTAGTCGTGTCCGTCGTGAGCGTCCTCCTCCTGTCCCAGGCACTCACTACATGACTCTGCGTCCCTCTACTGCTCCTCAGCGTGTCCCTCTACCGTCTCCTCCCGCGTCTTCTTTGCCTCACGTTCCGGACCCTGAGTCTGACCGGTACCGTGCTGAGCACCCTACTGTCACGCGTCTCCTCGCCACCGTTGTCACTGACCCTACCTTTGAGTCCTCGACTGCGTCTGCTCTGGTCGCTGAGTTGGTTGACTTTGCTGCTGCCTGTCGTCTAGACTACGCTGCTAGCCTTGTTGCTGAGTCTGAGTCTGAGTCTGTCTGTTCTCCGTCCGTCGGGGGTGAGTGTGCTCTTGGCACGGACGTCCTTGAGGACAGACAGGAGGAGTTCCAGTGTCTTGCTGCTGCTTTGCCCCGTCTCGTGTCCTTGCTAGTTGCCCCTGAGGGAGACCCGGATGCACCAGACATCCCGACCCCACGCACTTACGCTGAGGCGATGGCGGGTCCCTACTCCTCTCAGTGGCAGACGGCCATGGACGCCGAGATGGCTTCCTGGAAGTCCACACGCACCTACGTCGACGAGGTTCCCCCTCCTGGGGCGAACATCGTCAGTGGCATGTGGATTTTCAGGGTGAAGCGGCCGCCGGGTTCTCCGCCTGTCTTCAAGGCGCGTTACGTGGCTCGAGGCTTCAGTCAGCGAGAGGGAGTTGACTTCTTCCAGACCTTCTCCCCCACCCCGAAGATGACTACTCTTCGGGTGCTGCTGCACATAGCCGCTCACCGCGACTACGAGCTTCACTCACTTGACTTCAGCACTGCTTTCTTGCAGGGCAGCCTGTACGAGGAGATCTGGCTGCGCCGCCCACCTGGCTTCACTGGGTCGTTTCCTCCTGGTACCCAGTGGAGGCTTCAGCGGCCGGTCTACGGTCTCCGCCAGGCTCCGCGTGAGTGGCACGACACACTGAGGACTACACTTGCGGCTCTTGGGTTCGCGCCTTCTACAGCTGACCCGTCGCTGTTCCTGCGCACCGACACTTCGCTGCCGCCGTTCTACATCCTCGTGTACGTCGACGACTTGGTCTTTGCCACTGCTGACACTGCAGGACTCGCCTACGTGAAGTCGGAGCTGCAGAGGAGACACACGTGCACAGACCTGGGTGAGCTGACAAGCTATCTTGGCTTGCGGATCACCCGGGACAGAGCACGGCGCACCATCACCTTGACTCAGTCACACATGGTGCAGCAGGTTCTCCAGCGCTTTGGCTTCACGTACTCCTCGCCTCAGTCCATTCCTCTGCCTACCGGTCACTCGCTCTCAGCTCTGCCTTCGGATGAGTCCGTAGAGCCGAGTGGCCCGTATCCAGAGCTTGTGGGCTGCCTCATGTACCTGATGACCTGCACTCGACCTGACCTTGCATACCCTCTTAGCATCCTTGCACGCTATGTCGCTCCTGGCCGTCACAGGAAGGAGCACATGGATGCCGCTAAGAGGGTGTTGCGCTACTTGTGCAGTACGTCGGGCATGGGGCTTGTGCTTGGAGGGCGAGACCGAGTTGTGCTCACAGGGCACTCAGACGCTTCTTGGGCAGACGACCAGGCCACTCAGCGGTCGTCTCAGGGTTACACCTTCAGCCTTGGCTCTGGCTCAGTTTCTTGGCGCTCTACACGCTCTTCTTCTGTTCTCGGCTCCAGTTGCGAGGCTGAGATCTACGCTACAGCCATGGCTGCCCAGGAGCTACGCTGGCTGACCTACCTGCTGACTGACCTCGGAGAGCCGCCTCGTTCTCCTCCAGTACTGTACGTCGACAACAAGGCTGCCATTGCCTTGTGTGAGGAGCACAGACTGGAGCACAGAACGAAGCACATCGCCCTGCGGTACTTCCTTGCTCGAGAGCTGCAGCAGCGCGGTCAGCTTTGTATTCGCTACGTGGCCACTGAGGCCAACACTGCTGATGTGTTCACCAAGGCGCTTCAGCCTCGTGACCATCAGCGCTTCTGCACTCTCCTAGGCCTTGTGCCTACTGGACCTCACTTGCTTACCTCTTGACTTTGCTTGTACTGTGATCACTATATATATCTATACCTGCATGTTTACTCTTGCTAGGTTGTGATCACTGTATCTCTGGCTCTGTTATAAACCTGCATGTGAACTGGTCTTGTGACCACTAGCTTGTGCTCGGAATTTGTGTGGAATCCTCGAGATCCACCCTGAGCTTGTTGTTGCCTTGCTTTGCCTTGACTGGTCTTGTGACCCCTAGGTCTCCCCCACTTTGCCTATGGGGGTGTGTCAAACATTATATATGTTGTGGTTGTTTAGGCTACAGTGGGTTAGCCTTTAGGGGGTACACAATTCTAGGGTTAGGTACTTGTACTGATTTCACTGCTAGTTCAATCATTCCAGTCCGTTCATTCTGACAGGGCCAGGGCGCGCGGGCAGAGCAGGGCCAGGGCGCGCGGGCAGGGCAGGGCAGGGCCAGGCACGCGGGCAGGGCAGGGCCGAGCGCGCGGGCAGGGCAGGGCCGGGCGTGCGGGCAGGGCAGAGGCAGCGCGAGGGCTGCAGGGGCGGCGCGCGGGGCTGCAAGGGCAGCGCGCGGGCTGCAGGGGCAGCGCGCAGGCTGCAAGGGCGGTGCGCGGGTCTGCAGAGGCAGCGGGCAGGCTGCGGGGGCGGCGCGCGGGGCTGCGGGGGCAGCGTGCGGGCTGCAAGGACGGCGCGCGGGGCTGCAGACAGGAGGTGCGCGAGCTGCACGGGGCTGCGCGCACGGGCGGCACAGGGCAGGGCAGGGCGTGGGGTAGCGCGGTAACCGCAGTCGGTCACTAAGCTAATGGTGGGCCCGAAAAAAAAAAAACGGTCCTACGGACCTACTGCTCTAAAACCATGTCAGAATCTAACAGGAAGAATGATTGAAATAGACAGGAATGGGGTATTAATATGGCAAACCCTAATTGGGTTGTACCCCTTATGGGCTACCCCACTACAGCCTACACAACATATTTTGACAATCTGAGCACCCTTCGCAAAGGCTCCAGCGCACAATCATCTGTACGCATAATTACGAGTCACCACCACCAGTCCCACTATCCACCTGTGCTTCTCCTCGCCTGCCACCGACACCACTCACGGCTTGGCGCGAAGCAGCTGCATGGCACGATTGGTTTTCCCGATCTAGATTAGTCCTAAGGGGAATGTGTTCCCTCAGAGTACATGGCTAGCTAGGACCTTTCGTATTCCACTGTTTTCCTATAAAAACCCTTGTACCACATTGTATTAGTCACTTCTGTCGAGATTCAAATCTCCTTCTGACAGGGTCCGTCCCCGACATCACTAGCAAACCTTCCACTGCTACACTACATGCGATCAACCTGAGACAATCCTATAAAGTCATATCAGAATGTAACAAAATATACACCTTAAGCAATAACCATGGATGGTTGGTCCATTGATTCACTGTTCGGTGGCTTTTCTAAGGATTGCAGATAATAAAAACTTTCACACAAGCAAAATAAGCAAACACCAAAAATGTTGCACACAAAAAATCTAGCAATCTGTCCTAAAGAACAAGAATCACACTTAATTGGACTATGGGCCAACCTAATGTATATTTATTCTTGCACACACACAAAATGGCTTGAGCCAGCCATCAGCCATTTATTACTGACCTCCAAGCAACCGCATGCAATTGCCTGTACCTCTGCTCCGCCAGCCCCCGCCAATCTGCCGTTCCTCCTAGTGTTTCCAACAAGCACCTCCTTGCCCCGTGCCAATCCAACTAGGGCCTCTCCTTATTTGCTTGTTGTGAACCAGCCCCTACGTGGTGAGCACAATCAGCTCGCTGAGTTGCACAAAGAGGAAAGATGTAATGGGTTGAACAACAAACAAAGAGAATGTGGATGGCCATGACTTGTTGTATTGTCGAGTGGAGAAATGGGTGATATAGAAGTGCACAGGCAGCATACATGCACGTGGAAGAAGGGAAATACCAAATTGAGCATATTTTGTCTCTCTTACGTGTGCACTTGTTCTTTCTCTTGTCCATCTTGAACCCCTGCTTGCACTGGCACTGCGGCGTTCCTTGCACCATCTTGCACTGGGCATTATCGGGGCAGGCGACCGGACATTTGGCTGCCACATGGAAAAAGGGGGTGTGTAGGAGGTGTGAGGATTGGAGGATGAGCGGGGTTGACCGGGAGGGCATACATGAGAGGCAACGGTTTTGAAATAAGAGTCAGAGATTGTGAGAGTGGGCAACGAGCATAAGATCACTCGAGCTGCGGTAGCTTTCAAGAGAGCAGAACAGAAACGACAGCATGAGTTGTGTCTCTCCCTTACGTGTGCACTTGTTCTTGCTCTTGTCCATCTTGAACCCCTGCTTGCACTGGCACTGCGGCGTTCCTTGCACCATCTTGCACTGGGCATTATCGGGGCAGGCGACCGGACATTTGGCTGCCACATGGAAAAAGGGGATGTGCAGGAGGTGTGAGGATTGGAGGATGAGCGGGGTTGACCGGGAGGGCATACATGAGAGGCAACGGTTTTGAAATAAGAGTCAGAGATTGTGAGAGTGGGCAACGAGCATAAGATCACTCGAGCTGCGGTAGCTTTCAAGAGAGCAGAACAGAAACGACAGCATGAGTTGTGTCTCTCCCTTACGTGTGCACTTGTTCTTGCTCTTGTCCATCTTGAACCCCTGCTTGCACTGGCACTGCGGCGTTCCTTGCACCATCTTGCACTGGGCATTAGCAGGGCAGGCGGCCGGACATTTGGCTGCCACATGAAAAATGGGGGTGTGCGGGAGGTGGGAGGATTGGAGGATGAGCGGGGCTGACAAGCAAGGCATACATGAGAGTAAATGGTTGGAATAGGAGAATAGCAGAAAGAAGAGCACATGTTGTCTCTCTCCCTTACGTGTGCACTTGTTCTTGCTCTTGTCCATTTTGAACCCCTGCTTGCACTGGCACTGCGGCGTTCCTTGCACCATCTTGCACTGGGCATTATCGGGGCAGGTGGCCGGATATTTGGCTGCCACATGAAAAACGAGGGTGTGCGGGAGGTGCGAGGATCAGAGGATGAGTGGGGTTGACAGGGAAGGCATACATGAGAGCAGACGCTTGGGATAGGAGAAAGGCAGAAAGGAGAGCATACGCTGTCTTTTTTCCTTACGTGTGCACTTGTTCTTGATCTTGTCCATTTTGAACCCCTGCTTGCACTGGCACAGCGCCTTTCCTAGCCACGTCTTGCACTGGGCATTATCGGGGCAGGCAGGTGAACATGCGGCTGCCACATGAAACGTGGAGGGCGAGGGTGTCATGAAACGAGGATGAGCAGGGATAGGATTGGCTTGTATGAGAGTGAACGGTTGGAAGGGAACACAGAGTGTTGATCATGCACGCGGGTGAGCGGTGGTGGGTGTGGAAGAATAACAGAATAAATAGGAGTGCAGCTTCGAAGTATGCATGGCAAAAAGCATCGCATATGCTATCTCTCCCTTACGTGTGCACTGCCTCGTGCCCTGATCCATTTTGAACCCTGCCTTGCACTGGCACTTCGCGTTCCCTCCCACCACTGTGCACTGGGCCTGAGCAGGGCAAGCAGGCTTGCACATGGCTGGCATGGGTGAGAGGTGGGCGTTGGGGGAGAGGGGAGAGGGGAGAGGGCAGAGGGGAGATGGGAGAGGGGAGAGAGGAGAGAGGAGAGGGGAAAGGGTTCGAGGGTGTTTGGAAGGAGGAGGAGCAAGTGGATGCCACGCAACACCCACGAGCACTCAAGCTCAGCACGTTGAAACACCATGATCGCATTCAGTGTACCTAATGGCCTTCGACCCCTTGGTGAGCTCACCGGTGCAGAGGCCGTTCGTCTTGGTGTAGCCGCCATTGCACTGGCACATGCCCTGCCCGTTCTTCACAACGCACATGGAGTTCTTGTCGCACTTGAGTGTGCCCGTCTTGCAAGAGTTGTCAGCTGCCATGGGCAGAGGAGGGAAGCAGTTAGAGAAGCATCGGCCTGCCAGGGCGACAAGAGGCATTTCTCTTTCTGATTGCATGCGAGAGAGGCGGGTGGCCACACAAGACAATTCTTCCACGTGCACTGGGTTGGGACTCCAGAGGCACGTGCACTAGATTATTATTAACACTCAGCACTAGACCTACCAGGATTGAAAGTCTTATCACTGCAGATCTTCTCAGCCTCATTGAACGTGAAGCCCCAGGGGCAATGGCACTGGGGCTGCCCCCCCTCCACCACACACTCAGCAGTTCCGCAGTCCTTGTGACACGTGGCTGTTGTGGGCACGACAAACGGAGGGACAAACAGAAAAGCTTTGTTAGGATTGTTGGCAAACGGAGCAAAAAATCCATGAGCTTCACACTCTCTCTGCTGGTGGCTTTTTCGGTATGAGCAAGATGCCAAGGGATTATAGCAAGCATAGGCTAACGTGCATTTGCGTGTGCATCTTCACTAAAGTGCCTTAGAGCTGTGTTGATATCAGTTTTAAGAAATACTCGAAAGCAGTAACAACAGAGTTGTGTGCAATAGTTTCAAAAACGTGTCTCAAACTTAGAGGCCTGTGCTTGCACTTACTGATCTCACAGCCAACTGATTTCGGCAAATCCGTCGCTTTGGCAGTCCTGGAGGGGAAAGGTATTCATAAAGAGCATAGACGAGGGAAAATGTGATGCTTCCACGCCACTCACACTAGCAAGTGGGAAATGAATTTTGTTCATTGAAATGCTTTTTCATCCCTCCAATGCGCTAGAACCACACCAGACAAAGCCACACATGACGTGGCATGCGGTGCAACACACGCACACACCTGTCTGTGTTGCGGTAGGAGCCACCATCCTTTGCAGGACGCGGGATCTTGAGGCCCGGATTGCCCGTGCAGCCCGGGTTGCTGAAGAACGAAACGCTTTTGCACATGCCGTCGCCGGCCCCCTGAAGGCCGTAGGATTGCCACTGGATGCTGATCTGGGTGTCGCCACGGAGGCTGAAGCTGGAGGTGAGGTCGGTGCAGGCGGTGTCGCCACTGGCTTGCGCTGCTGGCCCGTTGGTGGTGAACTTGACGTTCTCCGGGTAGCTGCGCGGCCGGCCATTCTCCTTCACCTGCAGCTGCAGCTGCACTGTCGTCTGGAGGAGGGGGGCTGATGCCGTATCGTGGCCGTTGAGGGCCGTGTGGTGATGATGGGGGTTTGAAGGCATCGAGTTGGTGGTGGCACAGTGGAAGGGAGAGGGAGGGAGTAGACAGGAGCGGAGGTGCGGGGAGTGAGGAGAAGACAAGAGCAAGTCCGAGTTTTGGTGGAATAGCACGATGTTTGAGATAGCACTGAGGCAGCAACGCTGCAAGCTGAAATGTGTTTCTTATTACAAAATGCATCGTCTCCGGTTCCCGACTGCAGCCCTCACCAGTGCAGCCCTCACCAGTGCAGCGCTCACCAGTGCAGCGCTCACCAGTGCAGCACTCACCATAGCACTCGGGACTGCCGTCACCCGACACTTGGCAGATATCACCCTTGCGGCTGCAATCCCAGCTAGCACACGGGTCTGTAGAGAAGGTAATGGGTTGTTGCAAGGTGAAGAAAGGACGAGGGAGTTGAAAGAAGGGACTCATCACTATATGTGCACTCCATCACTAAATCACCGGAACTGCACCACTCACTGTTGGAAGTGGAAATGCCGAGATGTGTCTCAATACGCTAACACACATAGCTCATGAGCACATGACAGCCGTTGATGTGACGCCGTATTGAAGGTGAGTAGGTAAAAAGGGGTTAAAAGCGCGGAAATTTTGCTTATGACGTCACACCCACCCACACTCCGGCGCTCGCCAACATCCCAGCACTTACCCACAACACCATCGCATGTGTGGTCAACATCGTTGAAGGTAGAACCGTCCTTGCACTGGCATACACCGGTGCCGAGATCATTCACAACGCAGTCAGCATCGGTCCCACAAATGCCACCGCACTCATCTGCACAGGAAATCATGGGAACTCCAAGGTACAGTAGGGATTAGCGGTAAGAAAAGATTTTGCAAATCACGTCACACCCACCCACACTCCGGCCCTCACCAACATCCCAGCACTTACCCACAACATCATCGCATGTGTAGTCAACATCGTTGAAGGTAGAACCATCCTTGCACTGGCACACACCGGTGCCGAGATCATTCACAACGCAGTCAGCATCGGTCCCACAAATGCCGCCGCACTCGTCTGCGCAGGAAATCATGGGTAGTTTCAAGGTAGAGCAGGGATTAGGGGTGAGCAGAGATTTCGCTAATGACGTCACGCCCACTCACACTCCGGCCCTAGCCAGCATCCCAGCACTCACCCACATAGCTGGACAACTGACAAGGGGACCGACAACGACTGAGGCTGAGCGTGAGAAACAAGACGTTAGGATTGAGAAAGGGGTTAGAAGATGTGGGTGAGAAGCGAGAGGCCGCGAAGAAAGCGGATGAAATATAAGAGGCGAGGGATGCAAGAGCGAGAAGCATCAGTTGGCCTTTCAGCTGAGACTCACCATCTTGAGCGCTGGCATGCGTCGCCAGAAGGTTCATTGCGACGAGACCAACCACGAAGGCGGCGAGGCCAACATGCAGGGCAGACTGGCGCTGCCCGCGGGGCTTCATGACGGCAGGAGATCGCGGCCCGTAGGGCTTCATGGCGGCAGCAGACGGTAGTCAGCGATCGCAGCGGCGCGATGGCGATTGGCTTCAGCGATCTTGCTCCGCGAATCCCGTGAGATCACGTCGTTGGTGGTTGAGAGGAGGTGAGATGATTCGAAGTTTGATGGGACTCGGTGCGACTCAGGGAGGAGAGGAACAGCGGTGTGAGAACTTGAATGTGACTAGGGACTCCGAGTGTCGTTTTATGCATGTGAGGGAGTGGGTGCCCAGACTGATTTATTGTTATTAGCACAATAATTCAATCTGACTCATCGCGAAAAAGGCTGATCCAAATTTCAGGGCCCCGTAGGTTTTTCCACCAAAAAGCTCCCAGAAAGTCACGACGTCATACAAAAAGTCCCAGCCGGGATGGTGACGGAAATGTCACATTAACGTACACCGCAAACGTGACAAAAAAGTCACGCTGTTGTAACTTCCCAGTGACTAGAAGCTGTTAGTCGCAAATGCGTCCACGGAATTGGCGGTGAAGTAGATGGCCTGGTTTCGCACGAGAATTACGACAGTGGTTGAAAGCGTTTGAAGGCGGTTTACCTGTGTATTGCTGAATGAGAAAAACAAACCAACTTGAATGCAGTGATCACGAGGCATGCGAAGCAACCCGAACACTAGCGAAACAAATAACAGACGGTGAAACTACTTCGTGACGGTCGTAAAAAACAAAACGAAGATTTTTGCGCTTCGATGCTACACGTCAGACTCGACAGTGGCGTGTGCAAACCAATCAAGGCTACTCTAGGGAAATGTGCGTCGCATCAAGGTTTCGCGAACGTTCCACGTCACACCTTTTAAACCCCCATCTTTCCCAACCTTCCTGAACCGTCTAAGCCGAGCCTCAAGAATCATTTGAGCCAATCGTTGGAGTGCACCTAAACAAAACTTTCACCTTCCCTTATCCTCCCACTATTCACACCGAACCGGACCGTGGATCACCCAAACCCCCATCAACCTTCACTTTCCCATACAAATGCTCCCTGCATCTCACAGTTTGTTCAAACCTTGTTTGTGTGGCCTCCTATTTGTCACACCCATCTAGCACACTCAGCCAACTGTGCTCTACCTTCATGCTCTAGGCTTACACACTACAGCTTACCTCTCCATAGGCGGTGTGTTTATACCTATCGTTGTTCAACCCCCACCACGTGTTTTTTTTCATTAGAGAAGCTACTTGGAACCGCATACCTCATTCTCTCTCTACTCTCCCCATCCGCCCCCCCACTTGCCAACATGCCACTCCCCTCTGGTGCCCCGCGTGGCAGATCACAGCGCTTCAACGCCGCAAGCATAACGATGTTAAACCGCCACCCAGGCAACCGGTGGGGTCAACTGTACTGGTCAGTGCCCAGTGTGTTGCCTGGCTCAAACACCTTCTCTTTAACGCGTGGCAGATGGCCTACGCGACTGCGTAGCCCTTTGTTTCCTATGGTCTCGATTCTCTCTCTTCTTCATATTGCTTTTGTTTATCTCTTTGTGGCAGAACGCAAGGTGCAGTGCGACTGCAGCCAGCACCACCAAGGAGCATGTCATGCTACTTTGTGCAGCATGTTCGAAAAACAGCGACAAAAGTGCAGTGGCGCATATTCCAGTTCGACCGTTCCGTACTTCGCTTTTGTCATTCAGGCAAGCTTTGATGCTGACTGTGCGATTTTGCGACCGACAGAGCATCATGACGTTGGCTTGTGTGTGTGCATGTGGATCTGTCGTGACGTCATCCCTGCTATTTTTGGTGTTAAAACATAGGTACCGTTGCACTAGCCCCTCGAACGCTCCGCCCCATGTTTCCTGAGACTCACGATCTATTGCTATGATTGTCTTGCGGGTTTCATCACTCACATAACTGGTGATGTTTTTGTGTGCAGATTCATCACGTTCCATTTTGTTCTGTATTAGCTTTCTTCTTTTTTGCAGGTTTGACAGTTCCGAACGACCATACTGGCAAGATGTTTTCGTAGCCACGCCACGGTGTTCCGGGCTACACGTTCGTACATTTGCGCAGTTGCTCGCCAATCGTACATCTGCGCAGTGGCTTTAGTTCGTACATCTGCGCAGTGGCTTCAGTTCGTACATCTGCGCAGTGGCTTCAGTTCGTACATCTGCGCAGTGGCTTTAGTTCGCACATCTTTCGGTAGCTTTAGTTCGTACATCTGTGTAGTAACTTGTATGTTGCGCATGTGATGTGACTAAAGGAGCCCATTCGAAATGCCAGCTGCTGTATTCTGAAATTTCCGCGTACGGAAATGGGCGATGCTGCGTCGCTCGATAATAATCGCCACCCAATCATAAAACATTTCTGCACCCACGTCCCCGAGGTTTGATTGGTTCATATCCACCAATCAACGACAATGACACGTGGCAAAATATCTTGGCATACGTGACACGTGGCAAGGTTACATAAAAGTGACGAGAAAGTCGCTTCACCAGACACTCTACTGTGACATTCTGTGTGACATTATGTCACATTTACGTGACATTTCCGTGACAACGCAGGGAACATCGTGGCCGGTACTTTCAACCATGACTAAAAAACGCCGGACTTGCTGTCACATAAAAGTCACATTTCGAGCACTTTTTTGTGACTTTCGGCACTTGCCATTTTCGCGAGGCTAAAGCGCTGCGGGAAGGGGGGAAAGGGGGGGAAGGGACCGTTGCTGCGCCTTCGCCTGGAAACGTGCATTGGGACTAGGGAATTGTGTTGAATAATACCGATGGGCGCAAGGAAGAGCGCGAAAGGAGTTGCGGGCGTAGATCACGGGAGGGGCCAGCGCGGGGCTAGTCAAACGCGCCATTGTATTGGACGAGGCTCCGAGTTTGCAACCGGCGCGACGGGGGCGCAACTTGCGGCGCTGCAATTATAGAACTAGTACCAGTAACGCGCTCGCACACACCAGCGTGACTTGCGGCGCTACATTCATACCATGCTGCTCCGAGTTGGGACAAGGATCGAGTTGAGTTATATGAGTAGAGCCACTCGGCCACAATTATATGATCCCTGACTTTGATGGCCACAAGGGGGAGGAACGGAAAAAGAGCATCGGGAGGGCGACGGCGATGACGTAAGGCGCCAGAGCGTGCCATGTTAGGCTGGCCATACGAGGCGGGGTTCATAATCTGCGTTGCGGGCGCAGGCGAATAGGCTTCCAGCTCTACTAGTGCAGTCAGCTCGAAGTTCGAGCTCGCGCACACCACTGGTGTGAATCTGGCAGGTTCCGATAATTGCGGGGACTTGCGCGAGTGATGCTGGACGAATGCATTATTTGCTTGCAGGTAAGCGGCGGGAGTCATGTAGGCTGAAGGTGTTTGCCAGCGCGGGGAGAACGAGGGGGAGATGTGCTACGAACATTTTTTTCCTGTGAGAAGCTCATGGTAGTAGCCAATCGGGGCAAGGAGTTGCGACGTTTTCATTGATTTCAGTGTTGACATCAATGGGATTCCCCATCCGTCCTCTCCCCTCACAAACACAAGACAGTTCCCCACCCCACCAACGCTGAACGCCCCTCGTAACTAGTCGCGAATGTATCGGCGGGGAGACGAATCGAGATGCGATTCGGGTGCAAAATGTCTGACTGGGAAAGTGTTCTCCGTGCTGAGAGGGAAGGGTATTCATGACGCGGGTCAATAGCAGTCGCTCACGTCCCAGTCAGCCAGAGTCCAATACACAGTACCCAGTAACCATCGTGCCCACCAATTGACCATCAGAGTAAGTCTGTCATCGCCTGCCTGAGTGCAGCGGTGGGAGGGACTCGCGAATTGGTTCGTGCGGGCAACAAATGCTTCGTCTGCACGTCGCGCACACATGTGACACCTCGCGTCGCCGCCAAAGAAGTGATCAGCGTGCTCCATCCACTTTCGCCAGCCACACGAACCTCTGCCCCAAGAAACATTTTCTCACAGTTCAGCTTCCGTCATAATAATTTTGTGATTCTCGTTTCAGACAGTTCTCGGTTTCAGATATCGTTCCGGTATGCCTTATGTAACCTCATCTATTTTCAAATCGTTGAAATCAAAAGAAGGGTCCTCATAGATTGTTCATTTACCGTATTAGAGTACCACCCCCGCATAGAAGACACGTGGGACTCTTAAACCGGAGGGTCCTATTTACGGGAAAATATTGTACTAAGAACGAACCTGCTTTATTATAAGCGCAGGTGCGCTTAGATCCGGGGTAGCACGGTATTAATTAGGCACAACTTCATATATACAGTTGTGTCGAAGAATCTCAAACAGCAAGCACTCACTGCCCCTGACTATTTGCCACCGCCAAGAGCACAAGGTTTCGGTAAATGCCTTCAGGCAAGTCAAGGAAAGGGTGCGTTCACTGTTGCTGCTGCGCCTCCGTCCCTGCTGCGTAGTGATGACCAGAAGGTGGGGACACATAACAAATGGCACATGGCGCATGCAGACCTACATGCGAGGAGCTGCGCATGCATTGGAGTGTGGGTTGTGGAGGGAAGGGAGATGGGTGAAAGGGGGGATGAATGAAAAGGGATGGGTGGAAGGGGGGATGAATGAAAAGGGATGGGTGGAAGGGGGGATGAATGAAAAGGGATGGGTGGAAGGGGGGATGAATGAAAGGAGATGGGTGGAAGGGGGGATGGATGAAAGGGGATGGGTGGAAGGGGGGATGGATGGAAGTGGGACGGATGGTAGTGGGATGGACGGATGGTAGTGGGATGGACAGAAGGGTGTTGAGTTCGGATCACATGGAGCAGAGGGGAGACGAGCAACATGCAAGTGTCTGTGAGAAGGAAAGAGGCATAGCAAAGGCATGGGAGGGCGTGGGAGGCTGTCGGAGGCTTGGGGTGCCGAGGGACGGCGAGGGGGGTGTGGGGGGGCGAGGGAGGGCGAGGGAGGTCGCGGAACGGCGTGGGAGGGCG